TGGCACATTTTACACTGTAACCCAAGACACAGACAAACATACATATCAATATAAGTCTCCTAGTTTTACCATTGGCTGCTGGTTTTTTGCAAAAAAAATCATATTGCCTGACAAAAGTCACTGAGTTTGGGAAAGTCTTTTCATGAATTTGTATTGTTTGTGGTAAAATAACAATAAAAAGTCACAATGAAATCTTTTATGCTAAGAATTTGCTTTTACTTGCTTTCAATTTTGAGGCTTACAGTTTGCTGTAATTTAACACCATAATAGAATTTTTTCACACTGGTTATGTAACTCAAACTGGAGCCTTATCAAAAGTCTCCATTTCTTATTTGTTAATATTAAAAAATAAATTGTTGCTGAGATAGCAATTGACAGTATGAAAATGAAACTGGACAAAACTCTGCTTTTGTAAAAGTTACTGAATTTTTTGAATGTTCATATACTGTTGAAATTTAGTAATTCTCTGACTGTTAAGAATTATTGTTGTCTTACTATGCTTTCATTATAAAACTTTATTTTCAAACACTAGAAGTTTTAGAGTTTTTTAGTTGTTTAAATAAGTAGTGGAAGAAGAGCTGTCCAAACTTGTATCCAGGTGCTTTTGGTGGAAGTAATTGTAAGTAACAGGCTAGCTGTTCAGGTGACATGAAGTTTCATAGTGCAGTTGGTTCATTGATATTACCTGCCAAATATTTAAGATCACATCTGTCAGAGTGGTGTCCTGACAACTGCAGTGTTGAAGATACTGTAGAGCGCAAGTTATTCAGACTGAATAGCTTTTATTCTGATCCCCCACCTTTTCAGCATTGTGTATTATATACAAGTGCATGCTACGGCTATATGATACTATATGTGCTGTACTAGCCTTTATATCAAATGTTTTTGATTTCTCTTAGAATTACAGACCTAGGTGAATGAGCTTGATAGCCACTGTCTTTAACATCAATTTATAAACTAAAAACAGTAAGGTGGCCTGATTTTGAACAAAGGAAAAAGTGCATCTCAAAATAACTATTAAAATGGGCTACATGCTGCACTATATCATTACTGAGAAGCAAAATGATTGATTATATTGGATGGAGAAGCCACTGGAACTTGTGTGTTTTCTTGACCTTGTCATACTAGCCACTAGTATTTTTGAGATTAGTTGGACAAAAGGACATTTGAACTTCTGTCTTTGAACATGCATTTATTTACTTGGTAGCTACCTGAAGACCTGTCTTTCAGAGTCTTTGGTCAATCTTGAGTCTTTGGTCAATCTTGTTGCTATTTAAATTTCTTTCCTTTGAAAGGTAACACAGGGTCCTGGGTATTGTACAGAATTTATACACCTGTCAGAAGATGGAATTTTCTATAAACGTTTTTGTTTGTGCTAACAGTACAGATTTCCAGTAATAGTGAGCTGTTAGTTTCCCTGATGAGAATGTCATATGACAGCTCAGATGAGACTTCCTAAAAATACCATATTGGGTTAGTCATACATAACTATACCAATTGTTAAATGTTAATACCTGACACCATTTTCATGGTTTTGGTGCTAAGCTTAAGCACTGTGCGGTAGAGAATACTTTGTTCTCTTGGCACAGGTCATGTGTGTTTAACGTTACATAAATGCTGTTTGTGGAAATTGTGAGAGTCATGGCATGCCCACTCCCTTTTTTAAGCTGCAGTAAATTACCTGCTTACTTGGATCATTCTGTGTTTTTGCTTTACATGATTTGGTGGGAGACCTGTTTCTGGTTTTCCTCATACTGGTGGCATATCACACCAGGCATTTCAGTCCATCTTATTTTTGGATAAGCAACTAATAGTCTGTTGCGTTCATTTGAACTAGTGGAAATACAAGGCCTGATCTAGCATTCAAAAACACTGTGTTACACCAGATGAGATAGCCTTTGTAGTGCAAAAACCTAAGCCTGTATGCTGGGATGAAATTTTGTACTTGGCACAGAAAAATTGAAATTGCAGTTCAGATCTTAATCAAACAAGAAAAGGTTTTATAGTGAAACCATGGAAGTGCTAGGGTACACTGTTACAATTCATTTTATTGTAGCTGAATTGTGGGCAAATCCTATTTTCTGTCAAATGAAGTAGTGATTAGCAATGTAAACAGTATTATTCAGTCAGTGATGTAACAGAAAAAAAAGGTAAAGAATGAGGAAGGCCTTTTTCTTGATGAATAACATTTTTAGCAAGAAAACAATGCATGTTAGAATAAACCCAAAAGAGTAAACTGGTATACATAGCGTTCTTCTGGCCTTGCCTGGGCAGTTTCACCATCCCAGGGGGATGCTCCCCTTGCTGCTTCCAGGGAATCTGTCTGTAGATGAGGGGATGCTGTTCCAGGTGGAATTAACCCATTGCTTTTGATGCCCTCATAATTTTACTACCAGCTGTCACCACTTATGCATCTGTATAAAAGTCACTGGCGTAATAATGCCATGCTGGGTGGGAAAAGTGCGTCATGAGACCAGCAGTGAGGGAAGGGAATGGGCTGGTTGGTGAGCGGTGGCACTTGCTGGCATGGTGTATTCCCTCACAAGACCGCTGAGGCCCATGGGGACATCGGGCATCAACGTCATTGCTGTTTCTTCATTGCTTTGTTTAACTGTTTGTTATGTATGAAGTATTTGAGTTTGCAATGGGAGAAATTCTGTGTGTTTGCTAATTCTGATGAAATTCTAATGTGCTTGCTGATCGTCGTGGGAAGTATTTGAAAGCTAATGTTATTAAATAGCTTAAAGAAATATAAAAAGGAATGATTACATTTTTGGTTAATGCGAAGTGGGTTCCTCACTGCTACCACAGCTCCAGAGTAATTTATTAATCTGGTTACTTCAAACAACTGTTCAGCTGCTTTATGTACTTCATCTACACACATAGGTGTGAGAGTATTTATTCAGCTTATTTTTTTTATTGTTCAATAGATCAAATAACTTCCTGTTCTGTCACTAGTATTAAGCCCTAGTGCTGTGTTCGGCTGAAGCTTTTTCAGCAGGTGGTGTCACCTCTCTTGCCTGGGAGTGAGTGCAGTGCCTACCTGGAGAACCATTTGACTTCAAAGATAGCTCCATTGATGTTCTCATGATAGATTATTCAGCTGGATGCACATCTCTGTCTTGAAAGACAAATTCTTTTGCTAGTTGAAAGAGCTAGACATTAATAAGATGTGAATACATGAGGAACTTTATTTTGAAGTAGTGCTTTACCTAACAAGGGATTTCAGTAGAAACCAAACCTGAAAAATCTGTGAAGCCTAAGCTTTTAGACCACATTTGGATTTAGAGATCTGATGCACTTTTCTGTTTAAAAAGAGCTTTTGTTCATAGATCTGAAGGCTTTTGTTAGTCTCTCTTTGATCTCTTTGCTTTTTTTGTTGCACAGTAAATTATCTAATTGTGGAAAGTGACAAAAGTTACACATGCTGTCACTGGCCAGCTCAGTGCTCTGGTATGTATTACCAGTCCATACTGTTGATTTTATTTTGCAAAAGGGAAACCTATAAGAAAATGGTCTCTTTTTCTCCGATTAATAGTGTCTGCATGTGTATTAGCCTATACATGTTCTGTTTGGAAGATTCCAGGTACGAGTGTATTAGCACTGCATAGCATAAATAATAGATATTTTCCTAGAAACAAATGCTGTAGCTCTGCCTGTCCCTGGTCATAGGCAGTAGTTGGTCAGATTCTTCCAATGCATACTACCTTACAATTGCATTATCATTGTCAAGCATGTACAAAGCAGACAAAAACTTGTGTGGTATATTTCATTTTTTTCTCCTTTTCAGATGGGAGTAGAAGGCACGGATGAAGGTGCTTCTGGAGCCCAACACTCTAGAAAGTTAGTCAGCTTTACCCTATCAGGTAAAAAACAACACTACTCTGTGTTTTACAAATTACTGTTAAAAAAAAAAAAAATTGGTCTTTTAAATAACATCAAAGTTGGAACGCTTTTCTTCATTAGCCTCTGTAGGAGCACACTCTAGTGGCTTGAAAGATGTCATTTCTTTAGAAGTTCTGTTTGTTGAAAACAAGCCAGAATCATGAATCTCCAGGAGTGAAAGAAATGGATTTGATAGGTCCCAGCATGAAAAATTTGGAGAAATTTCCAGTTTGCACAAGGGACAGTTCCCCTCAGGTTGAAGAGTGGAAAACAGCCTCTAAATAAAATGCAAGCTGGTTCCATCACTTTGAAGGGGTAAAAAAGCAATGGCTGCAAATGGTGGTTTAGAAAGGAAAAAATCTTGTGACAGAGCTAAGCCGACTCTACAGCAAAATAGCTGTAGGGGTACAGTCTACCAGCTTCACTTGTTTTGATTAGCACTTTATTCCACGGGAATTCTTGTGTGAGACAAAAGCATTTTCTGTCTTTGCTCAGGCTGAATAAACTTGCTTCTGAATCTTGAAGAGCTGACAATGAAAACATTTAGAGATTGTAGGGGTAGAGCAGAAAAAAACCCTGCTTTTTGAAATGATCTTCCAGCAGTTATCTGGGATAGAGCTGATAGGTTGTATAGATACATAGAGTACTACAAAAATAATTGTTTTGTGAATTCTGAAAAACCTGTTGTGTTTAATAGAAGGTTGTGACACAGCCTGAGGAGTACCCTAAATTAATTTTGAAAGTTGTTTTGACTGAGAGGTCTGTAACGTATTTCCTGGAACACTTTTTGGTTTCTCATTTGCACATACGAAGTTGTTTATTTTAAAGGCAATTACCCATTATTTCGTGGTATTTCTGCTGTGTGGCTTAATTTTGAATACTATGTAGGATTTTTTAAATTTTTTTTTTTTTTTTACTGAATCCACACGCATGGCATTTCATTTTAGTGCAGTGAATTTTGCCTGCATGTATAAACTTCTCATCTAAGTATGTATGTGCCTGCTGCATTGGAGTCATAAAAAGTGTGTGACACACATTGCAGTACCTGATGGAGAAAGACACATAAATCTTGTGCTTCAGCAAACCTAAACAGAAATATTTTACAGTTGTTTAAAATTCAATATCATATAAAAAAATACCTCTTTCTCTTTGTTCTTCTTGAAGCTTGTGATGTCATTAAAGTCCTTAGGCATGCACCTGAGGAAATTATTATTTATTGTTGCAAGTCACAAGGGCTGCAGTACTGAGGTTTACCTAGGAAGAAGCAAGCATTTTCAGAAAACTTTGCCTCCTTTTATGTGAGATAGATTATCTTCTTCTAAACTGGGAGAAGGTGTGTATCGTAGTCCAGAACAGCCTTGATAGTGAGTATTTGAAGTTGTTATGTTTATCAAAATCTCAACTTCGGGAAGATGTGAGTGTCTTTGTTTAGCCTGTATCTGGGGCTAAACTCTATTCCATCACCTGATGACCCCTCCCCAGTTGAGAAGGGGAATTGGGGAAAAGGAGAGGAGATCCCAAGGCTGAAGCAAGGACAGATTTAATGAAACAGCAAAACAAATAAAGTATACAAAGTTTGTCTGACCTTCACAGTCCTCTGGAGCAGGAGGAACCCCACAGGAGCTCCCCTTGCTCAGCAAACCTTCCCCCTTTATAATGAGCAGGACACTATGGTAGGGGCTACCCCTGTAGCTCACTCAGGGCAGCTGCCCTGGCTGACTTGAAACTGCTAACAGCCTGCCTAGCATGGCTGGGCTGTGATTCTGTCCCAGCCAAACCAGGACAGTGACAATTCACTACATTACCTTCCATACAGGTTTTTTTATCTTAGCCTCTTCCCCTTAACCAGAAACAGAGCAAGTACTGTGTGATGGTTTTTGGTGGTTTTTTTTGTGTGTGTGGTGTTTTTTTTTGTTTGTTTGTTTGTTTTTTTAAGAGTGGAATTACCTTACATATGGAGAAAAACATTTGTAGGTGAGCTACAAGTTCATGCTTTTTGTTTTACAAATGACTGGAGGCTAAAGTGTAAATGAGGATGTTGATATCTTTCTTCCCTATATTCTCTTGGGAAAACACTTGACTTCCTACTTTAACTGTCTTCTGTGCACTGGATCCAGTTAATGTATAAGTAATTTTAAGTTGCTTTATTTAGTGGTTTATGGTGAATTGATTTCCTGGGTAATATTTTAGGAATGTGCTACTTTGTGAAATAGCTTTAATTTACTCAATTCCTTTTTCCTTCCTTCTTTTGCTTTACAGATATTAGAGCAGTTGGACTTAAAAAAGGCATGTTCTTCAACCCTGATCCTTATCTAAAGATGTCCATTCAGCCAGGCAAGAAAAGTACATTTCCTACATTTGCTCATCATGGCCAGGAAAGAAGGTCAACTATCATCAGTAACACAACTAATCCTGTTTGGCACAGAGAGGTAATGTATCGCTTTTGAGAGCTGTCTGCCAGCTGATGCAGTGTATCAGGCTTGTATTTTCTCTCTATGCATTAGTCCTTACTCTCTGAAGGCTGCTTATTTTGTAGCTAGTTATTTAAACTGACACAGAAATTGTAGTAATTTTAGGAACCCTGTTGTTGGATAGAAACAGCTATCATCTGCATATTTAAGCTGCACTGCTGTGAGGTTTTCATTCCCTTCTCTGCTAACAAGAGTTGAACTCTCAACAGCCCTGTAGATTTCTTGAAATTGCAAAAATAAATTAATTAAAATGGATTATATGTTGTGAGAAGACTCTTTTAAGAAAAGGTACAGTAAGTGAGCATTTATGCTCAGTGATTGCAACAACTGTTCATTTAGAAATGATATTCTCATTGTGCGTACTAGGGTGGCAAGCTTTCAGTTTTGTCAGGCAGAGGAAATGCTTTTTGGTGTAGCCTCTATATGCACTTGCTGTAGGAAGGAAAGCCCAGGGAGGCATTACAGCACCACTCAGCAAGGAGGGGAAAAAAAAGACAGTCTGGCAGAAGACCGTTTTCTGGATGTATTTGTATTGGGTAAGCTGTGCAGGTCTCAGAGAAGGAACTCGGTCCCTGAACTGTCTTTGAGCACTGAAGAGCTAGGCTGTGCCTTGAAGATAAATGTTTATGTGGGAAACAAGGTAAAAATACTAACACAAGTCCATAATCCTTTCAGGACTGGCAAGCGGCGTTCTTGATCTGTGCCTGTTTTCTAATGAGCAGATGCCTGTACTGTGTTTGAATCTTAATGTGTTCTTTAGGAAGGCTGGAAAATTGAGTGGGCTTTGGAAAACGTTCCCACAAATCATAATCATACCAAACAAGCTGTAAAGCAGAACAGAGCAGGGCCAGCATTAACACTGCTCTGGGGTGCTTGGTTGAGGGAAAGACTGTAGATGTGTGGAAGTCTTAAAATATTCTAAAAAATCAGAGTTCTAATTTCTAATTTGAGTCCTCATCTTTCTGTCTATCCGTCCATCTATCCAGTAGATAGAAAGAAAATCTACTCTTATTTTTCTGCATTTTTCTCCTCCAGTTCTCCTTGGTTTTGAAACTTGTATTAGGAAAGTGATAATGTTCACTGGTGCACGCATTGTATCAGCTTGCTTTAGCTGCTGTATCTTCCCTATAGCAATGCTCTGATCCCATTACATATGCTGTCCTAGTGGTGCAGAATTGATCCTGTTTTACATCTACTTCTTTCTGCAAAATAATTTCCAATTTTACAGCAAACTGAGAGTGACAAATTTTTAAGTTCTGTTTATCACAGGAATCCAGCTCTGACAGTTGTCCAGCGTGAGGAAGTGGTTTTCTTCCTGACCCAATTTAATTGCTGGTTTTTAATATATTTAGCTGAAATGGAATTGTTCCTTCTTGTGTTCCTTGTTCAATACATCTTTAGCTATCTAGCCAGGTGCATATTAGGCATTGTACTTGGGTTGTGATTTGCTCAGAGGTCTTAAAGATGGCAGATGATAAAGGTAACCAGATGACCTCAGCTTTTCTGAGTAGGTTATACCATACTTGTTTGTTTGTTTGTTTGAAACATCTTAAAATCTAGAGGAAAAATAAAAATCTTTGGTTCCTAAGCTTGCTTTCCTAAGGGAATTTGCTATCACACTGTGTGTAGATGTGTGTGTCTGCCAACATGCCCGCTCATCAGTTTGCCCTGTACCACTTTTGAATCTTTTGGCCCTCTTCAGGCCAACTTGACAGAGCAGCACAGATCTCAAAGATGAAGTATTCATAAACTGCATGAAAATTGATGCTAAGCTGAAG